GTGTGTGTGTGTGTGTGTGTGTGTGTGTGTGTGTGTGTGTGTGTGTATATTTGCAGAGAAGATTTTTTTTAATCTTTTACAGTGTAAAATAATACGTTCAAAAGCAAAACTGAAGTTTCAGAGGGCCTTGTTGTAGACATGAAGGCCAAATGTTGTCCTGGAATTATTTCCTTGTGGTTTTTTATGTATATAAATTCAAAACAAAAAAGAATCAAAATCAGCTTTTAGCGTCATATCTTGAGAAAAGCAAAAACAAAGTCTCTGCATCTGTTTTACCTATTTTCATAAAAGTACACCATTCATATTTTGGACTAAAATAAATTATGGTCAGTAAGTTTAGGAATTGTGTGCCAAAATTAAACAAAGGTTACATGTTTCAAATAATAAAAAAAAMCCAAAATAAAAGTAAAAACAAAACAAAAACAAAAACAACTGAACTTCTATTCTGAAACTGAAGATGTTTCGCTTCTCATCCAGGAGGCTTTGTCTGGAGTGTGTGGAGTTCAAAGCTTCATAGACCTGCCTGAGCCTTATAGTGCTTGGATTGCAGATTAACCTGAAACTACTTGCCCCTCATAATAGAAAATCTTTAGACTCTGTTAGCCTGGCTCACAGGAGAAATGTTTTGGTTGCATGAAGGTGTGGATCAGAGTGAAACTGAGTATCCAACCTAAAGTTTTGAAAGTTGAAACCTGAGACCTCCTCCTCCTTTGTTTAAAGTTGCTTTTTTCTCATTGAATGGCTTCCTTCACCCCTTCTCTCCAATAGACCAATTATTTTTAATGTTATTTCGGTAAAACAAGTCCATATCATAAATCCAATTAAGATCCAGATTCAAATTCAGTGACAGCCAATTTAATGCAACACATCCACATGCAGCAGCCTACCTTCTGAAATCCCAATTAGTGCAATGTTTTTATCATAACATTCATCAAATTTTCACTGCATCGTAATCTCCTTTGGTGACAATGTCAATCTTCTCTTTAGCAGGAAGAAACCTCCAGCAGAACCAGGCTCAGGATGACTGGCCATCTGCCTCAATCTGGGGGATGAGAGGATGGGAAAGACACAAGCAATTCAGTTTTGCTTCARGTACAGTTTGAACTGGGGAAAAAAAATAAACAAACAAACAAAAACAACAAAACTAAATTTAAAAAGGTTAGCATTAATAATGGAAACATGGACAATAGMGAGAATAAAGACAGAAGGAGAGTGAGGAAACGTTCAGTTTGTAAGCCTTTAGCAGCATTACTTATAGGATAGCTCAGGCAACCCAAACCAAACTTAAAGGAGACCAATTATGGGTCCTAGAAATTTTTATGGTATGTCTGTGGGCTATCCAGACCATGTTCATTCAATTTAACGCGCAAAATACTTCTTAGATAATAAAATTTCCCATTTTCTAGTTCTGCCTGCTCTGACTTCTGTTCAGAAGAGCTGTTTATGTTAATGAGCTCTGTTGGTAACGCCCTCCAAAAATCTGTTGACATGCCCTCCAAAGCCAGCGTTTACGTTAGCATGGCTAAAATAATAGCAGAAGCTCAATTGTACAACCATATGAGACCCAGAGGCAGAGTCGTGGTTGCAGCTTCTTTTTTGTCTCTCCCTCCTCTGCTCTGCGCTCACTCTGCATGCTGTTACCAGAGCAGGGAGCAGCAGCGGTCAAAATACCTCAGAAACTCAAACAAATAGGCTTTAACAAGGCTTTAAYAAGMKAAACAATAGAGGTACATGAGAAAACGTGTTCATAACGAACAAAAATAAATAAATAATCAAATTGTGTCCATGCCGATCTCAAACCCTGGTCTCCCGCTCTCTGGTCAAACACTCTACCCATTGCCCTATTGGAGACTTGTTGTCAGGTGAGCTGCACATTGCACAACAACACGGTGACGGCTCTTTATATTGAGGAGGAGGAGTCTCACCCGGGGGATGCTAGGTAAGGGGCTGAACTCAGGTTCTGGTGGGTTGTCGTATGGCTTGTGACATCACAGAATGACAGAAGTATAAAACTTGTCATTACTATACATTAAAAATACATTTACTTACAGTAAATATGCCCCTGGGTGCATTTGTTTTGGTCCTAGGACTGTTTTTTTCAGACGTACATACCCAAAGTTGAGAAAAAAACCTTTAAAAAGAGAATTTTGCATAATAGGTCCCCTTTAAGCTATGTTTATAGTAGATGCATTGAACAAGGCTAGAGTGTGTGTGCACCAACAGTGACAGGGTGTCCACCTCATAAACAGAAACTGGAAGTTGGTTCTACAAGAGTGGAGCCTGATAACCGAAAGCTCTGCCTCCCATTCTACTTTTAACTCTAGGTACTACGAGTAAACCTGCAGTCTGAGAATGAATAACTCTGTTAGGAAAATATGGAACTAAACTCTGGTAGGAACACTTCGAATCAGCAGAAAACTTTGAGTTTTAATTTACTGATACATGGTTTTACATTCAGTAAAAAATACGTGAGGAAATATTTTTTACAGTACGTTATTTTTTACTGTATGTCTGATATGCCAAAAATTTATTTATTTATTTATTTATTTATTTATTTATTTATTTTACCATACATGCTAACTACACTACAAATTTACAATTCCAGAAATAAGATCTAGGGGTGCACCG